CTCCTCGTCCGCGTCGCCGCCACCATCCGGCCCGGGCAGGTCCGACGAGTGCTGCTCACGCACGACCGCGGTGGCGGCCGAAACGGCCGACGAGAAGCCGCTGCCTGCGGAGGAGCCGCGGCCCAGGCAGCTGCCCGCGCGCTGGTCCGCATAGCAGATCGGCAGCTCGTCGGCGTCCGCGTCGGCTGGCCCAAACGGGCCGCCCCCGAGGCGGAGGCGCTTCATGGGGGACCCCACCGCGTCCGCTGCGCCAGACAGGCTGGACACAATGTCGCGCTTCGAGCCAAACTCGCCGCCGCTCGCGGCGCGCAGGACCAGGGCCGGCCACGCGGGCGCTGCCGGCTGCACTGGCGCAGCCGTGGCGGCGGCGGAAGCGGCCGACGCGACTGTGGCGGCCGCCGCCGTGTCCGCGCCGCAGGGGGCGTCCACGCGCGTGTCGGCCCCACCGTCCGCGGCCGCGCTGCACGCGGCATCGGGGCAGGCGGCCGCCGAGGCTGCAGTGCCCGCGGCCGCCGCGCCTTGCGCGCCGCCGCCGCCGCCGCAGATGTCTTCCAGCCCCGCGCTGGCCGCGGCGGCCGCGGCCGCCGCCGCGGCGCCGGCGGCCGCAAACTCGTCCAGCAGCCCCTGAATCGTGTTGTGGGGGTAGGCATCGTCCAGGTTCGACGGCCCCCTTGGGTACGGCGACACGCCGGTCCCGTGCACGCCCGGGCTGGTGCCCGCGGCGGCATAGTGGAAGTCAAACGTGTCCGTGCAGTCGTCCTCCTCGCTGAACATGGTGCCCGCGCTGCCGCAGCGCGCGGCGGCGGCGGCGCCGGAGAGGCGGCTCGTCTGGACCCGCAGCTGCAGGTGCGGGGGCCCCGCGCAGCCGCCGGCCGCGGCGCGGTAGAACCGGCTGGCCTGGTACTGCTGCTGCTGCTGCTGCTGCTGCATCGCGCGCTGCTGCTGCTGCTGCGCGCCGTGCTGCTGCTGCTGCTGCTGTTGCTGCTGCTGCACGGCGTGCTGCTGCTGTATCACGTGGCGCCCCTGCACCGACGGCGACGCGCCGTCATCGTCGCTAGCCCCAGAGCCCGTCGAGCCGCCGCCGTCGGCGTCGCCCGGCTGGTCGTCCTCATCGCCCGAGTCACTGTAGTCGGACGCACCGCCGCCGCCGCCGCCGCGGCCGCCGCCGTGGTGGGCGGGAGCCGCGTTGTCGTGGGCGTGGTGGGCGTACTGCGTCATCAGCATCTCCAGGGTGACGCCCTTTGCGAGGAACCTGCAGCCGACGCGCAAATGCGGGGGCCACGCCGAGCCGTTTTAAAAGAGGGTCGCCGAGCAACCGGGGGAGCAGCAGAGGCAGGGGCGGCACGGTCGGGCCGCCCCTGCTTGTCGCACGTGGCGTGCCCGCACCTGTTGCGCAGCCCCTGGGTGCCCGCCTTGCGCTTGAGCGTGGAGTTCCATCGGTTCTTCACAGCATTGTCGGTGCGCCCGGGCAGGAGCTTCGCGATAACTGTGTCGGGGGGTGGGGGTGAGGGACCGGGGTGCAAATGTGGGCGGCAGGGGCGGCGTCTGGCCCGTGGGAGCAGTATGAGCAGCCTCCAGGAGGGGGCGGATGTGAGCACGCGGGAGCGCGGCAGGCAAGTCCCAAAAAGGCACCCGCGGCCAGCTTGCGGATAGGGACATCGCGCTGGGGCGCGCACCCGACCACTTGTTGCCGTGGATGTCGTGCGCCTTGAGGATGACTGCGTCTTCATACTCGCTGAATGGCGCCTGCAGGGGGGGGGCGCACGGAGGGCCGGTGTGTCGCTCAGCAACGGCCCTGGGCTTGCCCCACCGCTCGCTCGTCGTGGTGCGCGCCTGCAGCACCGCTTCGCTGCCCCTGCTGTGGAGCTCCCGCCGCCCACCTTTTTAACCGCTGGGCTCAAGTGGTTGTGCCACCTGCAGATGGCAGCGGAGGCAGGGCGTCGCCAGGTTCAGGGATCGTTGTTGTGACGCGACCAGCAGCTCAACTCGAAACGGGCCACGCGTACGCTCAGCCAAGCGCTGCGGCAGGTTGCTTTGAGAGCCCGCTTAGTCCCTGCCGGTGCCTGCGATCGTATCTATACGCTTTGAGGCTCACCTCAGCCGGCAGCTTTTCCCGCTACGCCCAGGTATGCGCTCTGCCACGATCGACCAGCGAGCAGGCCCCAGCGCCTCTACCAGCCGCCGCAGAAGAAGGTCCTATATAGATATATATCCGCAACATTGGCGTGCGCACCCGCTTCAGGGCCGATCACAGGGTCGAGAGCGCCAAGCCGAAGAGGGGCCCAAGTGGCGCGACCCGTGGCCCGCCCCGCGGCCCCGCACCTCTTCCGGGGTCCACGCCCCTTTCTTTAACTCCTCTCCCGCCAGCATCGTCGCGTGTACGCTGCTACGCTCAGGTCCAGTCCCGCAAAAGTGTTGGGCCTGGCTGTCAGGCTTGCGAGGCTCAGCAAGTAGCACCTAATGATTTAAGCTACATACAGAGTATTGCTGGCATCAGCTGGCATCGCCGCAGCACCTTGATGACAGAGTGCCGTTCAAACTACGCAAAATTGTAGAAGTCGAATCAAATCGCGCGGGCTGAAACAATGACTTTCCACGCAAAATTTTTGCTGCTAAAAAGGTGGGTCCGCCGTGCACGCGAGGCTGGCATGATTAGCCGGCGCTGCCCAGGTGTCAATGGCGCGCACGCGCGTTGCTGCGGAGAGCCGAGGCATGTGGAGGATCAGATGCATCCGAACACACAAGGCCAACCGCAGTGCCAACAGCTGGCACCAATCAGTCATTGTCATTTTACACAAGTCAGGCTGGGCAAAGTTGCATCGTGCCCGCACTTGTGAGGAGCATCGTAAGCCCAACGGAGCTGCGCAGCAAGCGCCAGTGCCTGCGCCGTGCGTTGGCAGGCGGTAGCGCAACCCAATGCTGTTGAGGATTCATATGCATCAAGCCACAAACACAACACCCGTTGCCTTTGAAGAGCTTTTCATGATGACCACAGCTGTCCAAAAGCGGGACGGAAAACCCGAAGGCCTTACAGGTGCCTGTGCCTTGCAGGGGATCGGGTGCCCTCCGGTCACTGTCGGCAACCAGTTGAGCACACTCACAAGCCGTTTGGGCGTGGGGGCGCAGCTTTCCGTGCAAAGGTGGCACCAATGAAGATCTGCTGGATGGCACGATGCTGATCGTAGTAGTACAAGTGACACCCAACCGCCTGGAGTTGCATGAGGCTGCAAAGGCGAGCTGGATCCAACGTGTGGTCAATCTAGCACCACACTCGGGCCTGTGTGCTGGAATGACTTATCCCTAGCTCAAGGGAGGTGGAGTGGGGCACCCCTCGTCCTGCCCGGTCTCTGTTTGTGGCAGGCAGCGAGGCGAGCAGGCCGGCCGGGTGACGATGCCGCCTGCATCGTCCAACACTGAATGTTGGAGAAAAGATGGTCCTACTACCGGTACTGTAGTGACATAGATTGAAAACTGCTCAGACGTCCAGTAGGGAATTATTGCTGCATGGCCCTGCACAGATGGTGATGTCGCAATGTCCCTCGAAGGTAATGATGCAGGGCTAAAACGCGTGGCTGCAACGTTGAACTGAAACTACCGATGTGGTACCACAACACAGCATCGAAACCGACAGCCGCCACATCCCATTGGTTGTCAGTCTTGGAGTTGCAATTGCTGCTTGGCCAATCGCACTCGCAGTTTCTGCTGCATCTCCTGCTCCCATGCTTCAAACCCCGCCATTTCTGCCTCAGGCACGAGCATCCAGCCGTTCTCCTGGAGTGCATCAGAGCGATACAAGCGTACGTTACATCAAATTCAGGGTGCAGCAGTGGTAGCAGCACAGGTGACCGTTTGTTGTAAACGATAAATCACCAGCTTACCTGCCGGCCGTCCACCGGTGCATCAGCACCAAGGCCGCAAGACTGCTGCTCCCCTGCCTCGCAACCTCGAACCGCCGCCCCTTCGCACTCTTCTTCTTGCAGCATTCTACGGTACGCCTCCATCAGCTCTATGTGGCGCTGCAGTATAATATTGTTTTGCATGGGCAGCGCCGGAGCACTGAGCACGCCAGAGCCAGGGCTGCCATGCGGCATCGCCGCTGGGGCACGGCCGCTGCTGCGCGAGACAGGAAGCATTTAAATTGCCTAAAAAGATCGAAAAAGCATACAATCACGCGATACCGCAGCACAGCGTGGATTCAATGATGCAAAGCCCGAATCGTATTCTTGCTGTCCAGCTGCGTGTGAATGGATGGTTGTAGATGGTAGACGCATGAGCATTACTTTGCTCATTTGGTGCAGTTCTGCCCCCCAGCTGGTTCCCCACATGAATGTTTGACCACCACAGCGTTTGACTTGGGCTGCACGTGTGCACACCACATGCCCACGAGCATGCCCGTTTCCTTTTGTGGATGAAAGACGAAAACCCATGTTGGGCTCAACGATCGGATTGTGGGGCCACATGTACCTTGCCAAGTATCATCGGCCAAGTACAGTACAGTGGTTGGGCATTTGTGAGGATGGGCTTGAGGATGAGCACTTCACGGTGCATGCTGGTACGGTGTTGGGGCCCAACACCAACATGCAACACCAAGCTGATATAAAGTGATGATGAAAAACATCACGTCCACCAATCCTCTTTCTGGAGCTACACTGCAGCTGCTTCAAACATGCAGCACATGTGTCATGGCGGCTCGACCACTGTGATGAACTCCTCATCCTGAACTGCCCTCACTGTCAAACTTGTGGCTCCACGCGATTTTCAAAGTTGCTTACAAGTCGTCTGTTGTTTCAAATGTGCATGTCTCAAAAGCATCAAATGCAACGAGGCAGCGGCAACAATCAACTTGATTCATTGAATGGTGCAGTCATTCAAAGAAACTGTGAACTGGCGAAGGCAAGCAGCTCTGCCGCCCGTGCGTCGACGACTCTGGTTTGTATGGTCAGCTGTCAACACAACGGTTGGACCCGGCCTTATTGTCTGTCTTTCTTGTCTGCTAAACCTGTGCTAGAAAAGGAGAGCATGTCATGCATTGATTTGAATCAGGTGTAGGACACAGGTGCTAATGCTGCACGCCACAGCGGGAGGCAACAACATTCTCACTATGGCATATGTGCGTGCCCATGAGCGTGCTTACTGTGTGCGCCTCTGCAGCGGTCCAGACGCCGGCTGCCCGCACCCAAAGCACCTCTACGGGTGCTGCTGCTTCGGCTGCTGCTGTGGCTGCAGATGGCTTTGTTGAGCCTGCTGCTGGTGTTGCTGCTGAAGCCATTGCTGCTGAAGGGCTTGCTGGTTTTGGTGCCATTGCTGCTCAGCTGACAGCTGGTGCGCGCCAAGGCCGCTTGAGTGAGCTGTGTGAGTTCCACATATCGCATGTGATGTGCCGTGGTGCCACTGCGGAGACGGATACGCGGGCTGCTGCTGTTGATTGTCCTGATGATGTTGCTGCGTGAAGTGCTGATTGTGCTGCTGCTGCTGCTGCTGCTGCTGCTGCTGCTGCTGCTGCTGCTGCTGCTGTTGAGGATGCGCCTCGCAAGTGATGCAGTCGTCTGCGGGATCAATCAGCGGCCCAGAGCGAACTCTGATGATAGCGCTGTAGCAGGAAGATTTTTTGCTGCAAGCACGTGTGAGGATGTCCAGTTTTGCTGAACCCATGCACTCATGCACGACTATGCGCACGCACCTTCTTCGTCATCTGATATAAGCCCTGGCAAGTCCACAAATGTATACTCCAGCTGGCTGGTCAGCTGCTCCATAACGTCGTCCATCTGGTGAGAGGAGTGTTGGGCATTGATGGACAGTTGGGCTCCAACACCGTTCGAACATCAAATGTGGCCTATGTGGGGCATACGCATCAACGCAGCACCGCGTCAAGCCCTTAGGCAGCGTCCTGCCAACTAGCCAGGGCCCCGCTGACAGCAGTGGAGCGCGTTGCGCACACCATCACGCCGCTGGGCGGCCGGCGCCGCACCTGGGCCGCCTGCTGTGGGCCTCCGCCTTCCATTCTTTGCCGTAAAATTTGTTGTTAGCGGATGCTGCACACAATGATTGCAAGTGCAGCAGAGCGTTCCAATGCGATCTAGCTTTGCAGATATTGCCGACGAGCTGGAAAAGGGTTGTGGAAAAACGACGCGCAATAACTCACATTGATCCGTAAATAAAAGTATACCTCAACTACCTTGGAGTCGTAGTCGGCCGTAAATATGTTGGCATTCCGAGATTGGTTGCGTGCTGTTCCGTTGCGGGTGTCGTGAGTGACTGATGAGTAATTGGCGAGCATGTGCCTTTGTGGCCTGGTGGCAGTGGAGGCTATGGATGCCTCTTCGGCCCCATGCATGAGAATGATGCACAGAGTCGCGTGTGCGATCTGATGGCGCACTGTGGGCAGCATGCAGAGGCGCTGGTGTTTGTGCTCCAGGTGGCCGTGTGGGAGAACTCAACAGGGCAGGCAAGTTCGCCACCCAGTTTGCAGCTATGCTGTGTGTGTCCCCCCAACATAGCGCCATGCCCAGAGAACTCCACGGCTCAAAAGGGAAGTTGGCAAGCTGCAGCTGTGGTTCTTGACTGGATTGACGTGTCTGGCCGCATCAGACTTTGACCTGCGCCTTGCCATCTTCCCCCAAACGGCCAACATGTGCATGCACAAGGACAGCTCTTGACACGCGGGCGGCACGATGCTTTGTCAGGTGGATTCCTTGCACGCGCTGCGGTCTTGCCTTCAACATGCTCCCCCTCTTTGCTCCACCCACCCTCGATCTCGTCACTTGCCAACGAACGCATCGCACCCACAATTCGGCCTTTGCTCTGCCTCCTTGCCTGTCTCGACCTCGAGCGCCTCAGCTTGCTACGCACCAGATGGAGACCTGCTAATGTCAGCCGCCCGCCCTATTCTGAGTTTACAGTTCTCCTGTACTCGTGGCGGGCTACTGCAGCCCCCGGCCGCTAACTCATGTGCCCCTTCCCACCTCCGCACACCACACTTCACCAACAGGCATCGACGCTGTGGCTCTTTCGTCTCGCCGTCGCTGGGATCTCCTCGACACACGCAGGGGCACGCACTGTGAACCTTTGCCCCATTTTGCCGCCTTTCCTGTGACCCGCATTCAAGCCCCTTCTGCCGCTCTGATTGAATCACCATCGCGCTCAGGTGAGATAAGATACGATTGCCGGTGGAAGGGGTGCGGGCAGTGACACCTCACTCACTTAGCGGCCCGCACACTTGCCACTTGCGCTCCCNTGTGAGACGGTGACGGCCGACTACGACTCCAAGGTAGTTGAGATATATCCAGCTGCGTGGACAGCATATCTTGCCTTCATACACACTCAGCCATCAATCATTCGAGTGGCACAGGTGTCTGCCACTGCCAATACAACTCCAGATGCGCCAGATGTCATGATGTCACATGCTTTACTGTACGTGACAGGTGTTGTGTCCTTCTCAAGAGAAAGCCAAAACAAATTCTGACAGACATCAGCAAAATCACCGAAGTTGCATTTATGCAGTGACAGACATAGGATAGAAGTATACCTCAACTCCCTTGAAGTCGTAGTCAGCCGTCACCGTCTCACAGGTGTGAGTNCGGCAAGTGTGCGTGAAGCAGCAGGGTGCTCAAAGCGAGTGGGGTATCCCTGAGACATATTAAAATCCCCCATCCAGTGCCTGCTACAGCCTTGGCTGATCAGAACCTGCCATCATCGGCAAAGGCGGAAGGCGGTGGGCTGACGCCAACTTCTCGCTGATGCGTGCCTTCTGATCGGAACCCGCAGCGCTCACATCCGGACCTGCTCGAGGAGCATGGCGCGTGTGCCTACGAACATTTATAAGAAGTGAACGAGGAGTACCACCTTGTGGTCCCGTCGTGGTACCGTGCGGGTTGACGATGCACCCAGCTCCTTGGCCGATTTCCGGGTCACCCAGCAGCTTTCGCGGCCCCTCAAAAGCACCGTGCTTTCCAGTGTGCTCACAGGTATCTTGCGTCTCCAATCAACACGACCATCATCGTCGACTGGCCCTCATAAGGTGCGGTACTATCAAGGCCTGAGTGATTCGTGGCCTGTGCAACGGCACCGTTTCGCCGGGTGTCAGAATTCACATCGTGCCCACAGTGCACAACGCATAGCCAGCAACCCACCCAGCCACCACTCCCTCGCACCCTCGCAGCCACCGGCAGCCACACCACCATGGTGCGCCACGTCACCAGGACGGCGCTCCAGCTCCTGTGCATCGCCGCAGTGGTCACAGGCACCCTCGCCGCTGAGGCGAAAAAGCCCGGCACCAAGCAGGCTGACGGCGGCCCCTGCCGGAAGCTGCCCGGCTGCACCGCCTGCGAAGCCCCAGCACGCTCGTCCCAGGCAACCCCCGCGGGGCCTGTGGCTGGCGCCGTATCCGGGCACCAGGGCCGCGGCCTGCTCGCCGACGGCGCGGCCAGTGCGGACCCTATCGGCACCTTTGTTGCCACCCTGCTGGGCATCAACAAGCCCCAGCCCGCCGCCACCACTACCGCTGCTGCCGCCAGCGCCGCAACTACAGCACCCCCTGCCCCGACAGCCCCGGCGCCGCTTGCTGCGACTGCCAAGGGCGACGGCCGCCACCGTGGTGATGGGCCGCACTCGGGTGGCGGGCGCCGCGCGGGGCCGGGCGTGAATGGCACCGGCAACGGCGCCAAGGGTGGCCGCGATGGAGGCCACGGCAAGGGTGGCAAGGGTGGCGATGGCGGCCGCGGCGGCGGCCGTGACGGTGGGCGCCATGGCCTTCTCAAGTGCACGGCCTGTGTGACACCGAACTACACTCTCACAAACGGCACCTGCGGTGAGCACGTGGTGAAATCGAAAGGGGGGCATGACCGCAGCTCTCACACTCTGCGGTGGGCACCCCACGCATCCACATTGATCTGATGAGTTTCTTGGGTTCTTTGCTGGGTGGCGGATGTAGGCATGTAGCACACATGCTCATGTACGTGCACACGCATGAGTACATGCACAGTCATGTACATGCAAATAACGTGAGCGCGCACGCGCATGCACACACACAGAACCGCTCGCGTGTACACCCGCGCTCACTCGCTCAATCACCGCTCTCGCCATCCCTGGCCTTCTCACACGCTCGCGGCCTCCCCACCCACCTTTCAACCACGCAGCGTGCACTCCTGGCTTTGGCCTCATCGTCCCGTCCGGGCCCTACAAGGCGCTCCGCGCCCGCGGCCCGCGCATCTGCCAGCGCTGCCCCGCCGGCCATGTGTCGGGACCGGACGCGCCCAAGCCAGACTGGCTGCGCGGAGTGGTCGGCGGAATGGCGCTCACTGCGAAGGAGCGGGCGCCTGGCGACAAGGGCGGCAAGGGCGGCAAGGGCGGCAAGTGGGGCCACAAGGGGCTGTTCCCGTGTGTGGCGTGCGGCACTGGCAAGGCGGCCAACAAGGATCAGACCAAGTGCGAGTGAGACATCTGCTCCACCCTATGAGCAGTTCATGTGCTGTCAACCGACGCAGCCACGTGCGCTTTTTGGGGGCTTGCGTTGCCACTGCACCTTGAGGCGGTTGGTGGGGGACATTGTGAAACGAACACCGTCAATTAGCAAATTGGCAAGGCCCTCTGTTTGACAGGGTTGCATTTGCACTGGGCACAGAACCACGCATGCAAGGCCAGGCTTACAGCCACTGCTGGTCAGTGTTTGTGATCACAAAAGCTCTGTGTGTGCTGCCGTCCCCTCTCTTTTTGGAGGTCTCCGCTCCGGACATACTCAGCACTCAACCAATTGCAACTTTTGCACATTCGCACTTCGGGCTGGTATCTGTTGTGTGTTTGGGGCTTGCCTTTGATACGTGTGCTGCGCCATCAACCACGGCCCCTACGCATGCTCACATGCACACAGAACCACGTATTTCTTTTGTGTGCATGGGAGCCTCGTGCCTTGTGCCGCCTACTTTACTTCCTTCGTTGCCATTGCCAATTTTACTTCACTGTGCAATCAGCACACCTCGGCAACCCTTGCGCCCAGTCGTGCAACGCGCACGCATCACAGCGTTCGCAACCCAGCCGCCTTGGTAATAAGTCTTGCCTCAAGAGTCCTGGGCTTCCACCTACAGACATATGCAATTCCCAGAGGGGTGTAGTGCATTCATCTCAGGCTGGAGGACGCAGCGCCCCCTCAACATCCTGCCAAGGGCAGTACACACAGTCGCACGTTTGCAGCCTCACAGAGTACTGATTCCAGTGTTATGGCAAGCAAGGATACCAGGTCCGCAAACGTGCACCCATGTGTGTGCATCGCACATTGATTGTATTCACATGCTGTTTCTGACCGGCCTTGTCCATGCATGTATCCTTGCAGCTCAAATCGTTCTTGGCCAGTAGCCTGGCTCGTCGAAGGTTGCCTGGAGGTGATAGCCTTGAGCACATTTACACGGGTACGTGACCCCTCAATCCTTTCCCTCAACGAACCTTGCGCTACCTTTGCGGTGGCAGGTGCTCAGCTAAAGCCGCGCACACGCCATGCCAAGCAGCCCCTGTAAAGCCAGGAGCTGGGGATGGAGGAGGGGGCCAGGCAAAAGGGTACAATTGCATAAGCGCCACGCAGCGACACCAGCGATGCAGAAACCATGCGGGGCGCACTGCCTGTGCGTCTGTGTCGGAGCAAAAGCTCTCCAATGCAAATAGGAGTACAGGGTCTGCGGCGCGTGGCTTCTGAGAAGCAAGTGCCAGGCCCACAGCCGCAGGGCTGAATTGTGGACAATCGGAGCGATGGATCGCCGGGAAGGCGGTCCTATGCCGCCCCTGGCTCATCGCCCCGCAGAAGATGGTACATCAGCACCACAAAGGCTGCGTCTGCCCTAGGAGCGTGGCGCCGCTTGAGTAGGATAGGTCTGGAACCATTGCTGCGCTGACTGAGGGTTGTTTTGATACATTGGTACGAAAAACATTCCTGCGAGGCAGCTTATGGCGCCCCTAGTGCAGCAACTGCAGCGGGAGCGGCGGCGGCGGCGGTGGCGGCGTCTCCCCGCAAGCTCGCTTCAGCCTTGCTCAGGCCGCGCTTGCGGCGTCACCCCCTACTCGCTGCGCCCGCAGCCGCAGTCGCAGTCGCTCCTAAAAGCTTCGGGCCGTCCCGCGTCCGGAGCCGGCCGCGTCCTCTTATTGCAGGGCTGGGCCTGGCGCGGCGCCGCTGCAGCCGAACGTGTTCTCCCCGCTGTATGTGATGTAGAGGAAGCCGTCCTCGTCCTTGTGGTCCTCATAGACCGAAGACATCAGCGCGGCTGGGGGGGGGGGTGTGGTGGAGGAGAGGGTAGCAGGGGGCAACTGAGGGTTGTGGAGGGCAACACGGGGGCGCTGGGGGGTAATGAGAGGGCGGGGATGCCCCTCAGCGTTTGTGCAAGATGCATGCGGGATGGACCCTCCAGCGAGGGCACAGAGCCGTGCTCGTGAATGAAGGTTTACGAAACCAAGGGCTGCTAGTGCCCTGAATAGATGCAGGCGCAGCTCCGCCGTACACACGGCGATTGCTCAATTCCAGGCGCCGTGCCTCACCGGTTGGGGGCAGCACATTCTTTACAAAAACGAAAATCGCCTTCTCCGGGCTCAGCTTGATGCGCTTGCGGATGACATACACAAACTGGCCTACTGTCAGGTCTGCAGGCACCAGAAATCTGCGCGTGTTTGAGGCAGGCGTTGGCAGGTGGCGTTGTTGTGGGAGGCAACATGAGGGGCGGTGTTGATTGGGCACGCAATTCGCCAGCAAGCCATGACTGCCAGAGGGTCCCGCGCTGCTGCTCAAAGCGCGCGCGGGCGCGTGCCCAGCCCCGTCTGATGTGCCATGGATTGCGATTGTGGATGCGATGGGTGCATGCGCTCTGTACTTCGGACATGCGGCGGCGTGCGCTGCTTGCGGCCTTGCTGCGATTTGAACGCGGTTGCTGCACAGGCACCCATGTTTCGGCCTCAGATCCACGGGACCCTCACTTTTTCTTATCAATGTCCGGGATATCCGACTTCTCTGCCTTCTCCACGATGACCTGGCACATGCAGAGCGTGCGCAAATCGCCAGTTGGACCGGCTCTGCATGAGCGCGACGGGCGCTCCATCGACAACGCACCCAACACGGGTCCTGCTCCTCTGGGAACCCACCGGGATGCGGTCAGGGTACTTGTCGCGGATGCGAGCGGCCTCGGCCTGGCGCTTCTCTGTGCGGTGGGGCACCGGGAGCAACAGTACTCAGAGACCCACGGGGACCCACAGCGGGGGAACTGGTGGACCTCGCTTGTTTCCTGACTCACCGAGGGTGTGTTCCGCCTTGAATGACAGCTTGGACATTTGTCACGCGTCGAGGCACGCCGAGGGACTGGTAGTGATTTGGGATGGAGCACCGCGCTGCAAAGAACTCAATGCAGCAATTCGTGATGAGACGGATGCTAAATTTGATGTGTGCACAAGCGCTTGCAAGGATGGCTGATGCACACCACCCCAAGGTTCCAAGTCATGAAGGCCGACCCCTGCACTGCTTGTTCGAGGAGTGGGTCCAAAGGGGGCCGCGACGAATAGTGCTGCAGAGCAGTGCAACTTACACTCGCACGAACCGTTCCATAAAACCGAAACGACAACAGGTCGCGTCGCGGCACAAGATCATAGTGCGTCGTCAGGGACACTCGAGAGCATTTCACTCGCTTTTTGGGACAGTACACTCTTTCATTACCCCTTAGAGCTCTTAAAGAACCCTTCATTCACGCGCCGGCTGTGGCCGCCGCGCCCCTGAAACCCGGTGCGCAGTGGCAGCCGCCGCTCTCCTTGCTACATAGCGTGCGTGGCCACACTAGCGGCCCACGCCCGCCCCCCTGCTGAGCCTTCTCACGGGCAGCAGCAGAAGTAGCAGCAGCAGCCGCCGCAGCAGCAGCCCCAGCGATGGGTAAAAAGGACAAGACAGCGAAGGGGGGCAAGGAGGAGGAGACAGCCGCCCCGGAGGCCGCCGACGCTGTGCCCTATGCGACACGGGTCAAGTTCTGCAGCGTCATCGCCAGGCCCTTGGCAGATGAGAAGCTCAGCAAGAAGGTCGGTGGCATGGCGAGGTGGTTTGCGTCGTTCGAACCCTCCTTGCGACCGGGGCACTCGCGTATGGCGTGAGTGAGGGAGGCTGGTGGCGAGACAGGCGCGCCCCAGGCTGCATGGCCTGCTGCAGGGCGCCGGCAAACCACGGACGCCCACATCAATTAATGCCACCAGGTGTTGAAGCTGGCCAAGAAGGCGGCCAAGCGCAAGCAGCTGAAGCGCGGCGTGAAAGAGGTGGTCAAGGCCATCCGCAAGAACGTCAAAGGGTGGGCCCCGCCTCTCGTGCAGCTGACGGGAGCGACCAGTGAGACGCTTGGGGAATCTGCTGCGAGACGGCCGTAGCAGGCAGACATATACAGTGCCATGCGACGCCCGTCAGACCTTCGCGGCGTTGGCGCATGGCAGCAGGCAAGCTACTGCAATCATCCCACAATGGCAGCCTGGCCGGCACCGTGATGGGCGGCCTCCACGGCCCCGGCCCCGAGCCCGGTCTTAGCCACTGATGAGCTGTCTGCCCTCGCCATCGCGGCCCTGGCGCAACGCCCGCCCTCTTTGCCCCACCCACAGCCTGTGCATTATGGCGGGAGACATCTCCCCCATTGATGTCATCACCCACATCCCTGTGGTCTGCGAGGACAGCAAGATCCCATACATCTACGTGCCGTCTAAGGAGGTGGGTCGTGGTGCCATCGGATGTTCAGGGGCAGATATACAGTCGGGCGCGGCGCTGCCCGCGCAGCGGCGTCGGCATGAGGGCGGCCAACGGCGTCCTGCAGCTGCCGTAATCCTCCTCTACAGCGAGCGCCAACGCCTTTGTTGGGCGCCGCCCAGCGGCCGGCAACAGATGTGTGGTGCAGATATTGGGCAGCCTTGGGGTTTGTGATAGAAGGGGCGGGGGCATCCCCGCATCAGTCGACTAAACCGGCGTCCGCCTCGGTGCACCCGCAGGAGCTTGGCGCCGCCGCACTCAGCAAGCGGCCCACCAGCTGCATGCTCATCCTGCCCAAGCCGCCAAAGGCGGGTTCCGCCGACGCAGCTGAGACGGCGGAGTTTGATGAGGCGTATGCAGAGGTCGAGAAGAAGCTCAAGGCGGCGGAGGGCACGTGAGGCGGTTTGGCGGTCGGCCGCCGGTTAGCCGGGCCACGTGCGCCTGCGCGGCCTGCAGTTCGCAAAGTCGGCGGCACGAACGCGGCGCCGGCAGTTGCTGGCAAGGGGTGAGGCTCTGTTTGCCTGCTATGCATTTGTGGGCGGTGCTCTTTGTGGGGCTGTACATTTCGTTATTATTTGCCGCCTCATGTTGAGACGAGTGGTTGAAGGTTTGGCTAGTCTCAAGTAATACCTTTTTGTAAACAACCTGGGCTTGCACATTTGTTCAGGAGAAAACGTGGTGTGATGGGGGCAGACAGCAGCAGCATGCGCAACGGTCGAGCTGCAGCGCACTGCGCCGAGCGGTCCTCGTTGCATGCAGTTCTCGGTGTCCGTATCCCATACACTCTGCATCCTGTATGTGGATACAGGCTGCTAGCAGATATGAACATGGCTGTTAAAAACTGCTGGGCTGCCTCTTGCGCTGTGCTGATGGCCGGTCATTGGCAACCGGCGGCGCTGAGCTGCACCAGGGTGGCACTACACACTGGACCACAGCAGCAGTCGATGTCACGAAGCGGGTTCTCAGCTCAAGAGCCACGCCGCAGGCCATAGGCACATGATTTCAGAGTCGGGCGCGCACCTGTTCACCCCGTGGCACGGCTTCATACAGCCACGATCAGCTGTGCAGATCGCGCGCCCAGCACAGAGCGCGCGTCTTGACGCATGTGCCACATATAATGGTCCTCTAAGCACTGCTGCTGGCTGTGCAAGGTGCCAGCTCCGCTCTAGGAGCCATGGGCACTGTGTTCGAGAACGCGGCGCACGCGCAGCAAATACAGATCTTGCAGGTGCAAAAGAACAAGCTTTCCGAGCAGCTCACGTCCCATAAGGCCAAGATCACCTCGCTCGAGGCTCTTGTAGCACAGGCCGAGCAGCGGGAGCAGCAGCGTGCTCAGACGCTGCTATGTATCAACCGGATCTGGTCTCAGCTCAATGATGATGTCGCCACCTTGGCTGAGCGCGCCGCGGCCGACGCTGGCGGCGACCAGGAGCCGGCAACCGATGCCGATGACGCCGGCGATGATGGGCCCGACGTGGCTGCGCACGACGCGCTCAAGGGCATCGCCGATCCCTTCCTGCGCCGCCTCCTCGCCGCCGCCGACGAGGCCACTGTTGAGGCCGCTGCTGACGATGCAAAGGCAGCCACCGACGACCCCAGCGACGTCGAGCGCGCTTTGCACGCGCGCGCGGCGGCCACGCTCGCCGCCCTTTCCAAGGTCCTCCGCCTGCTGCAGCTGCGCGCCGGCTACCAAGCCTCCCTCGCCGCCGCCATTGCCGCCGCGCCCGCCGACGCCGAACTCAAGGCGGAGAACGCGCGCCTCGCCGCGTCCGCCGCGGCAGCGGCCGCGCGCGCCGACGCCGCGGCCGCGCGGCGCCTGGCGCTCGAGGCGGCGCTCAGGCAGGCGGAGGACCGGCTGTTTGAGAGCGAGGAGACCATGAAGCGCATCAAAAACGACCTGGCCGACCGAGAGTACGAGCTGCAGGCGGCCCAGAAGAAGGCGCAGCGCGCCAAGGAGGAGGCCGCGCGCCTCAAGCAGCAGCTGGCAGCCAGCGGCGGCGGCGGGGGCGGTGGCGGCCTGTCTACGCAG